TGTGATTTTGTGTAAGAGTTATGATTTTATGTGCCGTATATGTGTTTGGGACCTCTTCGATTTTCTCAAGAATCGAACGAGACCTCGAAAGTCGTGTAAGTCGGTGGATATTGGAACAATGTCGAGTCCTTGGTCTTATGAAAAGGCCTCGGACGAGAAATCTTATGTCGTGATTTAATTGCCAAGTTGTCGAGCTTGTAAATTGCTGTTTCGGTGTTCGAATTTTTAAAAATATCTCGCTGCTCGAAACGATTTGAAATTTTGAGGGATGCGTTATCTGTTCATATTCTGCCTTGTGTAAAATTTTCATAATTTTTGGAGACCTGTAGCTATTTTTAATAATTAATTTGTATTCTATCCAGAATATTGTTAAATGCATAATAAATTCATTCTTGACTGAAATGAGCTGAAATTCGAATATGTCGTGCCTCTGTGACTTATATGTGTTGTGTTAAGTTTTTGGAATTTTTGGAGTTGATTTGATATGGATAATATTTTATTTATTGTTTCGGCAGAAATGTTGTTTGAATTTTTAAAAATCGATTACTGCATGGAAAATTCTGAAATTTTGCTGAGAGTCATATTTTAAGTGTTTGATCATGTTCGTAAAATATTTTAAGTGTTTGATCTGTTTTGATTCAGTTTGAATTTAAACTCGATAAACTGATGTTGCTCGTTTGAATTTTTAAAAATAGCAACAGTTATTATTTAAAGCTGAAATTTTTATAAGTGAACTTTGGCAAACTGTATGTTGCTGTGTAAAATTTTCAGGTTCACTTTCGTTCACTAAGTCTGAGTATGAATTAAGGTGCCCTTTTTGCTAAATTACTGTTCGAATTTTATAAAATGGGGTATTTTGAGTTTAAAGCTGAAACTTTGTGATTTTACATGTTTCTGGGAGATGAAATTTTGGGTAAATTTTCAGAGTTTAATTCGTAGGGTAGCTTGACCTTCTATTTTCATGCGATTAAATGATTTCTATTTTCGAGCATGATTTTTATATGAAATTTGGAAATCGACTTGCTTTTTGGTTTTTATGTGTGTTTGACTTAGTCAATCCTTAGATGGATCTGTATGAACTCCCTTATGTGGTTTGGTCGAGTTTAGAGCCGAGTCTTAGTGTTCCAACATCCACAGGACTTCACGAACTACTTAGTCGAAACGAGTTCGACTAGGTCTGTCTTGTGATTTCCGGTTTAAGTCGAGATAGAATCTGATTGTAGGATCTTGACATCATGTAGGTGTCTAGAGGTGTTGACTTCGCCTCGTTTCAAGATTTGTGATCCTGTGAATTGTTGCTGCTATCAGGTGGGTACATTTATGATGTATTCCATATTTATCGCACTTAATATTTCGTATAAATGCTTTGTTTTGAAAAATGATGCATGCGTGAGAACCCTAGTCTAAGTGTCCCGTATGTTAGTGCCTTTGAGGAATGCATAAACAGTGAGAGGTCATCGGCCCGTAGATTCGGAGAGGTGACGCCCAGGTCCGTATGATATTCGTGAATGGGAAAAACATCTCTACTGTCTCCTGGAAAGGATCCCAGGCCCGTAGCCATTCGGTGATGGGAAGGTTTCCAGTTACTTCCTTGCCGTGTGTGATCGGAAGGTTGTTGTATGTACATAGGAGGTTTGCGATAGGGCCAAGTAGGGAGTTAGACTGTTGGATTCTATGCATACTGAATACTATGGTTATGATGGTTTAAAAATGTTATGCGAGATATACTGTGCGATAATGGTGAGCTTGTTGGTTATGCTCACCCCCATTATTTTCTTGTTGTCTTCTCTCTTCCTTTGTTTTAGGTTGAGACGAGCTGGAGGCGGTGGCGTAGGACGAGCGAGATGGTGGTCATTAATTGATGTGTCTTTGCTTCCGCCTATTTTTATTATATGATGAACTACTTGCTTTTATTTTGGATTATTTATGCTTCAGCTTGAAATCATGTTTGTGTTGGATGAACCATGGATTTATGTTAAACTTTTTGGATAATGTTGAGACTTGAATAAGCTGGTTTATTTGTATAACTGTTGGCTTATGTATGTGTAGGATTTGGTTGAACTTTGAATAATGCTAGACCTTTTAAAATGGTTTGAGACTTATGTTTTGGTATTTGTTTTATTGTTAGCTCGTGCATGTGTGTTGTTGGTTGATGTTAGGAAGTAGCGCCCGTTTCTCGAAAAAGGTTTTAACTTGGATTTAAAAAAAAAAAAAAACTCTGATTTTTATTAAATAAATTCGATAAATTCTTTAAAATAAAACGGGGCGTTACAGTTTGGTATCAGAGCCAGTCTTGCTTTTCTGTAGACTGGTTCATATGTGATTAAGTGTTTAATGACCATTCGACCACTCGCTTCGTCTCGCCGCACCAGCTCAAGGTATGAGTTTTATTTGTTTTGATTATTGTGAATGACGTGATTATGGTTTGTTCTTTTATTGGGGCTTAGGAATTTACCCTCCGTTTATTCGGACTTGAACTCTAGTGGTGTAGAGTTAAATGCCGACTTAAGAGATTTTTTTTTTTGTTGTGAGTTTTTGGTTGGGTGTTATCGAGTTAAGTTCGGTCTATAGCAGTGCTCTCGTTACGAGTTTCTGTTTAGTTCCATCGAATGAGATTTCATTCGTAAGCTATCTCGAAAGAGAAGGCTTAAGTAAAGGGTACAGACAAACGAAGAAGTCCCGGGTGTGTGGATTATTCGGAAGTCTGTGACTATTGTGGCTTGAACTATTAGACGCGTGTTAGAACCCGATTAAGGAGAATCGAGAGAGGAGTCTAAGTGTCGAGTTCATGTTGATGATCCGACCACTTGTGCTGGTAGATTCGTGGGGATCAGGTAAATGGCTGATTTTCCCTGTTATAATTTGTTCGTTTTCATTCGTTCTTACTCGTTGGTTTGTCTCGCAAATTCTTCGAGAATATTGATAACTCTCGTCTTTTATAAATCGAGTATCATGTAGTTGCTGTGATGAACATGTTGTGCTCGTTTATTTCTGTCTGGAAGTCATATTAATCGTGGTCGAGCTTAGAACTTTCGTTATATATGTTCATTGTTATTTCTTGTTAATTCGCATGTTTGCTGTTTCTGTTGTGCCTCAGTTTAAGCCATCAGAGGCTGGTTATTTGAAGTTGCTATCTTCTTATGAAATGTAGTATGTTCGGTTTTCTATATGTGGGCTTTGGAATTTCTCGATTCCGAGTTATATCGAATAAGTTATGATTTTTACGAGAATATTGCGCGTCCAGTTTTCCTGTTACCCGGCAGCATGTGTGTAATTAATGTATGACCTGTTTATCATGTCATAACGTGCTCGTATGAATTTATGCTCTTCATGGAAGTTATAGGTCTGTTTCTTATATTTTAAATGAGATAAATTTCATGTTAATATGTGCTCTGTAGCTCGAGTTGTGTTCTTAGGAAGATAGACATGCATGAGATAGAGTTTTGTGTTTTGGCAGAATCTGATATTGAATGTTAACTGATTTTACACTATCTAAATGACCTTTTATGCTTCGGTGTTCTAAATAAAAGTTGTAGAGGCATGCTTTAGGCTTAATTTGAGACTTGAAACATGTCATTTGAAAGTCTGTAGCTCGATCTAGAGGGTAAACACTGAGGTGCTGTCCATAACACATGTTAATTTTTGACAGATTTTCTGAACCACATGTTTTGTGTTTAAACTCATTGAAAATGTGTTTATTTGCCAAAGTGACCTTCAGCAAAGTTGTATACATTTGAGTTATCTATCATTTGGTATTAAAATTTCATTAAAATCATGCCTGTAGCTCCAGTTAGAGAGCAATTACTGAAGTCTGGCTAGGTGCATTACCCCAGTTTTGGTCTGTAAATAAATTTTCAATGTTTGTTGATTTATCACCTGCTAAATGGCCTTATTTGATTTCAGTGTCTTCATATGAATTGTAGTTTTGTCTCTTAGGATTCAAATGTCACAAGTTTCATTCATATAGCATTTTTGTCCAAAGAGATGCATTAAAAATACGGACTTTGTGCAATTCCGTTTTCTGGAAAATTTTGCCGCAAATTTAATGTATGAGCTTGAGTTGTTTCCAACCCTTTAACCTACCGTTCACGCCTTTGCCGCCCGAGTGCTTTTCCACTTCCTTTGACTACTACCTTTCGCTTGGTAGTCAAGTTTGAATTGTATTTCGAGACCATCTTATATATTTGATTTTCGTACCGTGTTAATTTCGCTTGATTTTCCTTTTTCCTCGCGTAGAAATTTTGGATTGTGTTGAGCATCGAAATTTCACCTTCTATTGATCCTTATCTGATATCGAACCGATAGAAGCCCGAGGGGCATTCGGTATTTTACCCCGCAGTAGTCTATGCGTAGGTGTGCACATGAGTCTTGATCTTATGACGATATTATGATGACAGGAGATTGGGATATTGAATTGATTCTTATACATGCTGCGACCATACCTTACTGATTATTGGTTATTGTTTCATTAGTATGAATAACGTTTAATGCATAGTGGTGAGCACTACTCTTTCCTACTGTGCTCATCCCCACCTGAAATTCACGTTTCAGGTTAAACGAGGCAGGCACGATGGCGGAGTAGAGCGAGTGGTGGTCGGTCTATATGACCGGTCTTATTATTTGTTAAGCTTCCGCATTTATGAATTCTGGATTTTATGACTATGAATTTGGAGTATTATTGCATTTATGAATATTGGATTTTATGACTTGAATAATGTTAAGGAGATGCTCCTTAAAATTTGTGGATATTGTTGGAACCCGGTTTGGGTGATGATTTCTGAAATTTTAGTAAACTCGTTTTTTTTGGAGTTAGTATTATTGTTGACGATTGATGATTGAGTCTGATGAATGATCGAGTATTGAAAAAAAAATGGTTAAATATTGAAGTTCGATTTAAAAAGGGGTAGCGCCTCAGTTGTTTCGAAATAAATTTGAAAAATTTTATTCTGTTTTTTGGCAAATAAAAGTGGGGCGTTACACCAAGTGTACCCGGCTAAGTTCATTCTTGGTTACTGCTCGACTTACATATTCATGCAGACATTCATGATCCCCGACACTATTTTCATGTCCTTATTCGCTGGAGCACTTTTTGGTGTCGTAAGAGGTCTTTTCTTTGTTGTCTTCAATGCAACTGCTGGGGCATCTTGCTGCTATTTTCTGTCCAAACTCATTGGCATACCTATTGTCAACTGGTTGTGGCCTGAAAAACACAGATTTTTCCAGGCTGAGGTACCATTTTTTCCGTCTTGTTGTTTTCTATTCTTTTTTTTTTTCTGAAGAGTTGGAGAACAATGGGAGTGTATTTTTTTTTCAGATAGCAAAGAGGAGAGAGAAATTGTTGAATTGCATGCTCTTTCTGAGAGTAACACCGACACTGCCAAAACTGTTCATCAATTTGGCATCGCCAATTGTGGACATACCATTTCATATTTTCTTTCTGGCAACTGTTGTTGGCCTCATTCCAGCTTCCTATATTACTATTAGAGTAAGATCACTTTTTTATCTGTTTTCATCAAGCTGTTTCTAGCTTCGTGTAGTAAATTTATGTGATCCACGCACTTGATGTGACTTTTGCGTTTGCTAATTTTGTTTGTGTTAGGCTGGGCTTGCACTTGGAGAACTGAAGTTGGTGAAAGATCTATACGATTTGAAGACATTGGTGGTACTGTTCCTCATCGGGTCGATTTTATTGTTGCCGACCCTTTTGAAGAGGAAGCGGATATATGATTAAAGCTTGTCCTTTTACGATTCCTCCCGTCTTTTTTTTGAAGAAAGGGGAGTGATTACCTGTAACATCATTTGCTTTTGTAACGGGAAATTTCAGCATTACACATCGTACATCCGTACATTATCATCTACTGTTTATCTTACAGTCCTAGTTTCAGGTGATCTAACGCTTGAAGTATTGAATTTGAACTGATATACATTGTAATTCATTCACAGGGAATGAAATCTGGAATCTGTACTTCTCTGAATATCAGAAATTATAAACTTAATTAATACACAGGCAGGTTGAGATATATCTTGTGGGCATTTAAATCTCTTTTCATAGTATTTCATTTGTTATGTGTAAAATGTGATGTATGATAATGAGAAAGCTGACACCTTTTGGAACCAAAATGAATCGAAACTATTGTACTGTATGCATCTTGGTGGGATATATACAGCAGATGAGTTGAGGTTTATCAGTCCTCAAATATCAATCCAAACCCAATCAAGATAGGGATTTGTCTGCATATTCGCACTTTCAATTTCATGATACGATTTTTTGGTTTGACAGCAAATGCTCTAAGATGTTTGGCTCATGTGGTGAATCACATTGTTAAATCTGGATTGAATTGTATGGATAAAACAGTGGCTTCTATTAGGAATGCAGTAAAGTATGTTAGAAGTTCACCTGTTAGACTTCAAGAATTTAAAGCATGTGTAAAAAAAGAAGAGTTGGATAGCAAAAAAGTTTGTGCCAACAATGTGGAATTCTACCTTTATAATGTTGGAAACAACATATGAGTTGAAGTTGACATTTGATAGGCTAGCAGAGGAGGACAACAAATATAAGGGGTACTTTGATGAAGATGAAGAAGATGATGATGTGACTGATTTAGTATTTGGTACCGAGGGGGCAGAGGGTAAGCAAAGGAAAAGAAAAAACAGAGGGAAATAGAAAGTTAGGCCACCAACTGAAGAAGACTCGTATAGGGCTGAGGCTTTTATTAAGTTCTTGAAAGTATTCTTTGATGTCACTCTTAATGTTAGTTGCACTATCACACCAACTGCACATAAGCACTTAGTGAGATTGTAACAATCAAGTGTGAAATTTATGATCTGTTTGATGCACCAGTGACAAATCAAAGCACTGATTATGAAAAGACTTGAGAAGACTTTGTTTAATAATTCGGTGCAAATTAGGAGGAAGTATAATGCGATTTTTTTAAAGTATTCTTTAGTTTTAATACCATTTTAATTATAAGATGGGGACTAATAAAAGAATCTAGCACATTATTTTAAATACATTTTTCAATAAATTGTATATCAAACATATATATTCAGGTGTGTACTAGTACATCAAAAACACTGAGTGGTGATAAAAGAGCCAGACACGAGCATACTGTGGTCCAGATAAAAGAGAGGCTTGTGGAGGGGAAATGGTCATGGTATGTTCAAGTAGATGCATGTGTCATAACATGTATGTTCTATATTGTAGTTGTCTCTTATGATGCCTAATAGCTGTAGGTATTTCAGTACTTGACTTGTACATATAATATGAGTATGCTAATGCAATACTAATGTCTAAAATACTGGTACAACGAAATCAGAAAAGATGAAAGACCAGAAAATAAACTCAAGAAAAACACGTGTATTGAATGGTCACATTATGATGCAGAATCTCGGGTTAGAACTGAGTTTTATCCATGCAACATGCATGCTGCATTTTGTTGTCTTATCCGCAAGTATTCAACACGTGTTAAGAAAGATCTCTTCATATATTGGTTTGAAAACATATCAACAATATTTGAAAGGTAATTGGTGTTGGATTTGTTGTTATTTTGTATTACTTTTGCCTATATAGATATCGTTGTCCATGAGGTGTTAAAATTCTCAATGTTATAACTCGTCCTTTCATTTCGTGTATTTTAATTTCTAAAGAGCTTAATGAGGAAAGTTACTGTTTTCAAGCTTCACTCATGCATAATTGTTTATGCGGGTAAAACATCTGAGTATCGTTTTTTTCTCTGTGATGCTTTTATTTTCTCAAGTCCAATATAACATCTGATATATCTTGTTTTTCCCTCTGTTATGCTTAATGCTTTCAATTTAAGTCCAATGTGAAATCTTGTCTCTTTTTCCACGGAGCCAAATTTTGTTTCCTTTTAAACTCACATGTGTGCTTGGCTTTTCCAGAATAGCTAACATTGGTAAGTCGTTCTCATATATATTTGTACATAGTATTGTCATTCCATTTTGTTTTAGGAGCTTGCAGAGTTTCTTGGCCGATGGTGCCCCGTTCGCTTCTCTTGAATTTTTAGTATTTTTATTGGCTCGCTTTTGCTTATTTATTTGCCTTCTTTTATTCGATTGATGGCATGTATTCATTTTATTATCACTGTTTAATTATCTATTTGTGCTTGCTTTTATTTGGGTGTTATGTGCATTGCTTGTTTTTTCTTTACTTATGTGCATTGCCCGTATTTTATCTTTATTGCTCGTCGAATCGGTCGTTTAAAACCTATTAGATGTCCTCGTCTTTATAATCTAATAGATCGAATAATTTAGGTAGACGCTTTCATTTACTTAAATTATTTTTAATTTTATCGTGTTCATCAATCGAAATCGTTCGGGATCCAGCGCGTCGTATTTTTCGAGCCGTTTTCTGAGCGAGTTTGGAGTTTGATACTCGGCCCATTTTTGTTAATTATCCGGCCCAGTTTAATTGTAGATTTCGGTTTAAGTGTTGCAATTTATTGGCCCAAATCCAAGAGTTAAACCATGTAAAACCGGCCCACTTTATTCTGCATTTGCATTTTCTGCCCAATAAGCTTAAAGAGTTTTGGCCCATTAAATCCCCCAAAACCCGTACAAATCCTTTCTTTTCTCTTCTCATTTGACGCGTTTCCAGCCCAAATTGGTCTCCCAAAATTCGATCTCCTTAGGCCAAAATCAGATCGAAAAATCGCCTCCCCTCCCTCGATTTTCTCCCGAAAATCCCTCCTCGCCGGCGAACCCTTAGCCGCTGCCATCCATCAGCAACCGCCGGCGTCTCGCAACGGCCCATCGCGCGCAGTCGAACGGCCCAGCCGAGGAGGAGCACGCCGCCGCGAGAAGGCCGCTGACGTCCGTCCACCACCGCGAGAAGCCTTCCTACCGCCGATGTCCGCCCGTCGCACGCATCAGACGAATTGCAGTACCAGTGTTGCCCTCCTCTCTTTCGACTAGCATCCACCGTGAAGCGCCCCGCCACAGCAACGCGCCGAGATTTGTCGGAGACGCGCGGCCTGACGCCGACACGAGCGAGCAACCGGTCGAGTAGCCACCTCCTTTCGCCGGCACCAACTCGCGAGCCCACAAGCCCCGCCAGGCCTCAGTCCGTTCACCAACGGCTGAGATCCACCGTGGGCGAGAATATCCCTGAGCAGATCTCCGTACGCTCTCCCACAGCAGCGAACCACTGCGCTCTCCCACAGCAGCGAACCACTTTTGCGAACTTCTTACCGCGGTTATCCACCCTCAGACGCCGCCGTCCGAGCCCCAGTGGGCAGCAGTTGGCGGACCCGGTTCGTGATTGTTTAGATGCCTCGAACCGTGAACAGTCTAGACTGTCGGAGACAGCTGCGCCCCGACAGCCTCAACTAAAATGCGCTTAGATCCGCCTAGATCCTACTGTGTGTTGCAGAGTGTCGAGCTCTCGTAGAGCCCTTTTCAGATCCTAAACTCGAAATTCACCTTTACATGCGAGGACGGTAGGATGAAAGGGGCTGTACGAAAGTTCTGACACTCTACAACACACGGCGACTTGCTGGTGCATTTAGTTGAGGCTGTCTTCGACAGTCTAGGCACGTCGGTTCGAGGCGGCTAAACGATCATGAACCGGGGCTCGCAACTGCTGTCCACTGGGGCTCGGACGGCGGCAGCTGAGGGTGGATAACCGCGGCTGAACGGCGGTAAGAGGCTCGCAACGGTCGAACCACTGTCGCAACTGCTGTCCACTGGGGCTCGGACGGCGGCAGCTGAGGGTGGATAACCGCGGCTGAACGGCGGTGGGTAAGAGGCTCGCAACTCGCAACGGTCGAACCACTGTGGGAGAGGGTGGATAACTTATAAAATGATAATTAGAATTTATTTTAAAAACCTTACATTTATACTATTTGTATAACAATCCTTCAAATATAAAAATATATCATCACAACCTCATCAACATATTTAATTTACGAATTAGATTGTTGTTCTTGTTCCAATTTGTTCTTCAATTTCTTAGCGAATTCCCCAAAGCGCAGAATATCATAACTTTGGTGTGATTCCCCTGCTTTCAACCTCGCGTGCTCCGATATCCGCCACCGTGAACCCTCGTTCTTCCAGCGGCTTCTGGCCGATGGCGGCGGTCGGTCTACACCGTGTGACGACGGCGGCTTGGATTGATGGAGGTCAAGTCCTAGATATGCGGCACCCTGACAACAGAGAGTAGCCTAGCACGAAGTGGAGATTGTTGGCGGCTGCTTTGCTTCGGCTAGGGTTTGGTGGTTTTTCCTTTTAACAGGCTTTATTGAATCACTTCAGCAAAAAACTCTTTTGATTTGTGTGTTTGCTTTAAATATTTTCCAGGGTAAAACTATGGAGGAGTTTACAGGCACTTTGACACTTTGACAGGCGAAAATGAGAGTCGCAGTGTACTCCATCGTCCACCAGCAAAAATGGCCAGTGAATTTTCTCAACCATTAATATTCGTTAATATCGTACTGAGTTTGATTTCAGTATGTATTTGTATCGAGCGTGTTGTGCTAGCATTTTTGTTGATTCTTTACGTATGGCTAAAATTGCAAAAGCTAATCTTGTGTGTTGATTCCTTTTGAAGTTTGGAGATTTGCTTATGCTTTATGCTTCGTATGGTTGTGCAAACGTGTCTTTGGAGTTTTTGGACATTTATTGTGTTTGTGTGGATCAATTTCAGGTTGCTTCTTATCTTCTGAATCATGGTAAATGTTGATTAAAAAATTAATCTTTTGAGGAACTTCGTACCCCTTATTCCTGGTAGTCTGTTTATCAACAATAAAATAAATTTCCGCAAGTCGGACAAGTATGCTTTGGTAAATGATGATGAGTTTTCAAATGATTGTGGATCAGATTATGATGGAAAGTCTTCAGTTAATCGAAAATGCAAGAAGCGTAAAAGACATAAGAATAAAAGAAAAAATAAAGTCTGATCATGCTGGAAACTATGAAGATGAGTTGTGTGATTTTGATTTATCAAATAACAGGCTAGATCGCAATCCAAGGGGGGTGATTGGTTGCTCTTACTGATGGATATTCTACTACATGGAGTAGTGTAAGTTCAAATGTGTCTTGAGTATAGCAGCATTTTTTACTTTCAATATTTACATTATCTGAATCTTAATGTGAGATTTAAGAGGCTGATGCAATGTTACTGTTGTTAATTTTCCTTTGTCGGTTTAAGATATATTTATTATTATGGTTGTTATGTGAAGTTGCTAATGGGACATCTCTTTTTATATTCTTTTTTGTTCTTATAGTTATGTCCATTCTATTCAAGTGTAGCATTTTTGTTCTATTCAACTTTGAAATGCCATAGATTGTAAAGACTTAGCAATTTTTTGTTTTTATGAAACAAAGGGTAAAAACGTATGTAAGTTTGCACTTTTATTGCATGAATCAATCTTAATTAATGGTGCAGTTGGAGGAGTGTATTTTGCCAAGTTGCTTAATCAGTTCTTGGCCGGAAACTGGAGAAGCTTTGCAGGAAACTGGAGAAGCTTTGCAGGCCAGAACTATTTCGACTCTAACGGGTTATTTCTCTCTGTACTATGGTCTGGGCCGCTATTGGTGATCGCGATTCTAATCCTTATTAGTGATTGGCCTTTCTTTTATGTGTTTTTTTTTTCTATTTATTAATTAATTGATTGTTTGCTCTCCTCATTGGCACTTTTGTTTTGTCTATAGGTGAACACTTTGTTTTCACTGTGTTATCTGATTGTACGATGGAAAAGGGCTGAGCTCAGGCATCGTGCAAGAACAGCTCATAGTAAAGAGGAGTGAGCTGGGTATGTGCCTTCTGCACGAGGGGATTTTTCATGATGAGAGTCTATTTTTGGATGAATTATATTTTGGCCTTGTGCTTCTATTTCTTTAGTTATGTTATTTGTGTTTTATCATATGAAGAAAAAGGAGTGAGGAGAACTAAGGTTACATTAGGCAGTAAATTACTCCATCTGACAAGATGATTCCTACAATTATTCTTGGTGTTGTACTGTTCTTCTCATAATGGTTTGATTGATTCCAAATCTGGCCTGGTTAATATATATAAATTATAAAGAGTATTTTTTGCCATAAACATTTCACTGAGTAGGCAGAAAATTTCATAGCGAAGGTGTTTGTATTTGCATCAACCACAAAAGAAGCAGTAGACCGTTGTGCGAATTCTCATTTTTTTCTTTCTTCGTTGAGTTTTCAAAAATTGAAACTTTTAGTTACAGCCGGAGCCGGCCACTGATTTCACCGCAACTTTAGATAAGCAAAATTTGTGAGCGCATTATAGTATGTGAACATCCTGAAGGTACTAGCATTCAGGAACACTACATGATGTAAATACAATGGGAAAAACACGATCAACAATTTCGAGTTCAGCATCAAGGCATGAACATCGACAAACATCGCCATCAAAAGATTCCAATTTTTTAAGAGAACTTTCATCAATTTACACAATTTGAGCATCAATCATAAATCCGAAAATACCATTACTCTTAGCTGTCACGGCTTGTTATTAGTCCTAGAGAATCGTGATTGAACCAGAGAATGCCTTTTCTCCAAATTCTAGTAAAGAGGAGACTTGAATGAATTACATTCCTGTATACTAATAATACAAATGGAGAACAATATCCTCATAAACTGCCCTGAGTCTCGCCATTTGTAGTGAGGTCTTCGAGTTCATCGATAATTGCATCATAGCAGAACAAGTACTGCTCCTGCAAGATACAATGTGCAGATACAGTCAAATGTTAAACGATTTTCAAAACGTACCTTAAGTAGTGAATGCAGACAAAATATAATATTGACAGAGATTTAAATTAAATCACCAAGAATTTATAATATAGCAGCCCTATATAAAAAAGAAAGAATAAGTAGTTTAAGAATTATGAAATATCAAGAATACAGTACGATAGTTTGCACCATTCCAATACGCTGTGACCTAAAAGTGGTTATGGTATTAACAAGGTCCAAAGCAGTCATGTCACCCATAAGAACCCTCTGGATTTTATTGTGGATAACGCAATATGTTCCAGTCCTACCAATACCAGCGCTGTGAAAGAAAAAAAGGTTAGACTATAAATATTACTTTCTATGATTACTTTAACTCACAATCAAAAGGCAAACCTGCAGTGAACAACAATAGGCCCGAGATTGGGCGGGACATTAGATATTGTAATGCCCCATTTATTTGTGATTTATTTGAGCTCTTATTATTATTATTATTATTATTATTATTAGTATTGTGATAATATTAATTATTGCTTGCCAAATTGAATGTCTAAATATTATATGTCTAATTGTCTAATTGTCTAAATGATTTATTTGTTATTATTTTATAAATGTGTAAAATATGCATTAATATATACAGATAAATATATTTGTTGTTCGATTTATCGTGCGTTTGATTTTATACCGAGCCCGAGAATATTCGCGCGGATCGAGTCATTTTATTTTGGCAAAATAAATCGGAGAACCCGAGCCCGAGAGCCGAATATATATATTAACGTGCGATTTTATCGAGCCCGAAAATACCCGCGTGAACCGAACTTGAACCCGTGAGCCGTTTTTCATTGTCGCGAACCAGCCTGATCGACCGGCCCGCGAGCCAAAAACCGGCCCAAAGCTCATGAAAACCGACCCAATGGCCCAAACCTGTTTCTCTCTTTGTGAGCGTGAGTATATTTTTTTTCTTAAGAGGCAAGATAATCAAAAACCTAATTCTAATTGTGCGCAGCTTTTCTTTCCTTTCCCTCACGCCCGCTGTTTGTCAATCTCTCTCTCTCTCTCTCTCTCTGCACTTCGCCGTCCATCATCTTTGTGATCCTTCGTCATCATCCTCCTCGTGAATCCATCACCACCCTTGTTCTCTTTCCTTCATCCCTTCATCATCGTCCGGTCATCATCACTGTCGCCTCCCGTCGCCGCCATCACCTCTGTGTTCAGAAACTCGCCGCGCCGCGACTAAAGCCTCCTCCACGCCGCGTCGCACTACCACGCCGCGACCAGAGTCCCGCCGCGCCGCGACCCTCTTCCCGCCGCGCCGTGAAGCTGTCTTCTCCGATCGCTGTTTGTGGTTTTTCCGGCGAGCTCGATAATTCTCCGAGCAGCGACGTCCGGTGACCATCCCGACGAGCTCGTGAACCAGCAGCAGCGACCTCTCTCCTCCCCGTGCGACGAGCCCTTTTTTCCGGCGAGACGAGTTTACCGTCGAGCCGTTCGTGTTCGTGACGTTTTCGAGTTATTCCCGAGAACGGTACCTCGTCGTTTTTCCGTCTCGTTTTATTCGTATATGTTTTATTTCGTTGAATGTTTTAGTATAGTGCTCGTTGATTATTGATGTGAATATATTGATGTGAATTTGTGCGACTATACATTGTGATGATTTCTTTTTGTGTTCGTATGTTCGGGATCTCTTCGATTTTCTCAAAAATCGAACGAGACCTCGAAAGTCGTGTAAGTCAGTGGATAATGGAACAATGTCGAGTCCTTGGTCTTATGAAAAGGCCTCGGACGAGAAATTTTATGTTGTGATTTAATTGCCAAGTTGTCGAGTTTGTAAATTGCTGTTTCGGTGTTCGAATTTTTAAAAATAGCTCGCTGCTCGAAACGATGTGAAATTTTGAGGGATGTGTTATCTGCTCATTGCCTGCCTTGTGTGAAAAATTCTGAAATTTTACTGAGAGGCCTATTTTATGTGTTTGATAATGCATGTAAATGATGGGAATTTTTGGAGTCCGTTTTAATTCAGTTTGGATTTAAATTCGATAAACTGCTGTTGCTTGTATGAATTTTTAAAAATAGCAGCAATTATCATTTAAGGCTTAGATTTTTATACATGAACTTTAGCATACTGTATGTTGCTGTGTAAAATTTTCAAGTTCAGATTCATTCATTAAGTCTGAGTATGAATTAATGTGCCCATTTTGCTGATATCTTTTTCGAATTTTATAAAATAGGGTATTTCGAGTTTAAAGCTGAAACTTTGTGGTTTTACATGTTTCTGGGAGATGAAATTTTGTGTAAATTTTCAGAGCTTAACTTGTAGGGTAGCTTGACCATCTATTTTCATGCGATTAAATGATTTCTATTTCCGAACATGATTTTTATATGAAATTTTGGGAATCAACTTGCTTTTCGTTTTTGATGTGAGTTGACTTGGTCAATCCTTAGATGGATTTGTGTAAACTCCCTTATGTTGTTTGGTCGAGTTTATAGCCGAGTCTTAATGTTCCAACATCCACAGGACTTCACGAACTACTTAGTCGAAACGAGTTCGACTAGGTCTGTCTTGTGATTTCTGATTTAAGTCGAGATAGATTCTGATTGTAGGATCTTGTCATAATGTAGGTGTTTAAGAGGTGTTGACCTCGCCTCGTTTCTGGATTTGTGATTCTGTGAACTGTTGCTGCTATCA